CCAGCTCCCACCCCCACCCCGGGGCTCAGCTTGTGCCCAATCTGGGCAGTTTGGGCGGGTTTTGTTCACACAGAATCGTGAAGCAACAAAAATGAAGCCTGTTTGCAACGTGGGGGGACCCTCAGAGCAGCAGAAACACAGGCTGTTGGGAGGACTTTCATCATTTTAGGGACATGTTGTTCATGCCCCTTTTTGGAAAAGCTGGACATCCAGGCAGGAAATCGCCCTTTTTCCCTGAAACAGCAGAAAATCAGAGGTTTGATGCAGATCAGCAGCTGCTCCTTAAATACAAACAATACCTCCTGCTCCTGAGCTGTCTCCACCAGAATGTATCTAATGGGCTCAGGTTGCACCAGGGGAGGTTTAGATTGGGTATTAGAAGAAACTTCTTCACTGAAAGAGTAATTAAACAGTGGCCCAGGCTGCCCAGGGGGGTGGTTGGATGTAGATGTGGTGCTGAGGGACATGGGTTAGTTCTGGGCTTGGTAGAGTTGGGTTATGGTTGGACTCTCATCATCTTAAAGGTCTTTTCCAACCAGACTGATCCTGTGCTAAATAAATTTGCATCAGATCATGACTTTCTAGGTCTGATTTCTTCTAGACCTCTCCAGACAACCAGCTTCCATGAGACATATTCCTGGTGGAAGTACCTGAGCATCATTATTCCAGCCAATACCAAGGAACACAATTCATCTTAACTAGCATCTGTATTTATGCAGGTACCTCTGAGCAGGAACCTGTGATGGCACCAGGGCTGTTCCTCATTAGAACATGCCCATCATATGCCAAGCTTCATGATTCCACATGTAAGAGCACTGCATTATCAACATGAATTTCAGTGAGTAATGAAGCCAGGGAAGCAGCAGGACCTGCTCCTGCCTGGGAGGTGTGGATGGAGCTGCCCTGGGGCTCAGCAGCTCCTGGGGGCATCAAAACCCTCTCACCAAGCAACTCAAACCTCCTCTTTGCTGTGGGATCTGTCAGCATCACACATGAGGCTGCCACGTGGCCTGGCCTGACAGCTGAACATGAGGAGAAACTTCTCTACTCTGAGGGTGACAGAGCCCTGGGACAGGCTGCCCAGGGAGGCTGTGGAGTCTCCATCCCTGGAGACATTCCAAACCTGGATGTGTTCCTGTGGGATCTGCTCTAAGGGATCCTGCTCTAGCAGGTGAGTTGGACTGGATGATCTCTAGGGGTCCCTTCCAACCCCACCACTCTGTGACCCCAACACAGCTCCTCTAACAGCCCCACACCAACTGCTCAGCCCTGCAGTCTGTCCAACATCACCACCCCCACCTGCAGCAGTGACACACTAACAACACCTGCCCAGAAGCTCAGCTTTTCACCAAGAACCTTGCTCCAAGTGGCAGGGTTTGGCTCTCAGGTGTCCCACCCTGGCCCAGTGCTGCCAAGGGTGGCCCAGCTTCCCACTCTGCAGAGCCCAGCTCCTCTGCTGCCCCTGGCACAAGGATCACTGACAGGGCAAAGGGATGAGCAGAGAGATTCTCTTAAAACAATTTATTTCACAGTAAATGAAAAATCTTAGACTTGATCCCAAAGGAAGGCAGGGGGTGCTGTTCTCCCCCCACGGGGGTCATTCCACACCTTCCAGCTTGACAGTCCAGCCCGACTTGGAGAGCAGTGGAGAGGGAAGCATCTTGGGCAGAGTTATGAGCAGTCCCTTCTCTGGGGACGTCTGCCACTCCAGAGTCCCAGCAAAACCCAACATGGTCACCTGGGGAGGAGGGAGGGGACACACTCAGTTGTAGCTCACAGGTGCTTCCCCTCTGAACATCCCCAGACACCCCTTCTGCTGTCCCTGCACAGCATCTCCCACCCCCAAACCAGCCCTGCACATTTCCACCTGTCACCCAGAGAGCACAAAAAGTAACACAGGGGATATTTTGGGGGCAGGAACTTTGACTGTAGTTTGTTGTTTGTTTTGGTTTGGTTTTCTTTCCATTACTGAGAAGGCTGGACCTGTGTTTGCCCAGAGCAAAGGGCACCCTGGCCTGTGCGTCACGTACGATGGGGTTCACAATTAGGGGGGTCATTAATCTGAGCTGAATTGGAGACCATGTGTGAGGCTTGTTATCTACCTCACCTCCCTGGGTCAGTAAGGTCCAAAGACCCTGGGGGAGAAGCATCTCAGCCTGTCCTAGGGCAGGACTAAAGCCTGGAGAACAACCTGGGATCCTGTCAGGACCTGCAGGGAGGCCACAGCACCCCTGAGCATGAAGTATGGGATGAAAAAGACCAGGTTGGATGGGGCTTGGAGCAACCTGGGCTGGTGGGAGGTGTCCCTGCCCATGCAGGGGGGTTGGAACTAGATGATCTTTAAGGTCCCTTCCAACCCCAACCATTCCATGACTCTGTGAAAACTTCCACACTCTCCCCAGTTTCCAAATGAAATCAGGTGGGACCTTCCCAGCCCAAGATGGGCTCTCAGTATGTGTTGTCTTTTTTTCCTAGTTCCTTACTTGTGTGGCTGGGGATGGAGCAGGTGAGGACAACTGCAAAACACTGTCCTGAGGCCAGATCAGAAAGATGGCATAGACAGCTGATCCCTTAGAAGTGTACCTAGGAGAGCAAGAGTTCAGCAAAGTGAAGAGCCCCATAGAAGAGAGAACTAGGCACGAGTTTGACTTTTCTGGACAGCACGAGAAGACTGGCTTGCCTGCTGTCACCTCACAGCAGTCACCTACATCCCCCTCATTCCAAAATGTGTCACTTGGGACTCACTGTTCAGCCAGTCAGCACTGGCTGATGAAACTCAAACAAAGTCCGTGGCTGCTGCCTGAGAGCAAATGTCACCTGCTGGTCTGTCCTTGCCTCAGGGCAGGGAAGACCCTGCCTAGGCCTGGCCATGGCTCTGCACTTCCAGACTGGACACACTTCAACCCCTTCCAGTGCCTGAAGGGGCTCCAGGAAAGCTGGGGAGGGACTTGGGGCAAGGGCAGGGAGGGAGAGGACAAGAGGGGATGGATGAAAACTGGAAGAGGGGAGATTGAGGTTGGACATGAGGAGGAAATTCTTGGGTGTGAGGGTGGTGAGAGCCTGGCCCAGGTTGCCCAGGGAAGCTGTGGCTGGCCCACCCCCGGCAGTGTTGAAGGGCAGGTTGGATGGGGTTTGGAGCAACCTGGGCTGGTGGGAGGTGTCCCTGCCCATGCAGGGGGGTGGGACTGGATGATCTTTAAGTTCCCTTCCAACCCAAACCATTCCATGATTAAGTTTGCTTCTGTGATTAAACTCCACTTTTTGGTAGCATTTCTGGCTCTGCACCAAGGCCCTTCCCAGTCAGTACCAACCTAACTATTGGGTAACAGTGATTAGTACCATTATATAACAGATTCAAAGCAAAATCAATATATTTACAAACTTCATATGTTTGGATCAACTACATTTGTGCAATTCAAACCAGCCAGGACCACTCCCTGCACAGGCCTGACAGCAACTACATGGAATCTTTTTTTTTTTTTTCCCCAAGAGTTTTTTTTTCCAAATTAAGCAGGATGGATGAAACCCTGTTTTTTTCTTCTCTTCTTTCAAGCAAGATATTCCTTAGATAACCCCCCCTGGGGTGCTGAGCACTCCAGTTGTAGATTACCCAAATGCCACCTGCACCTGATGGCAACACCTCAGAGTGAACCAAACTGCAGAATAAATAAGATGTGCCCAGATGGCACAGAGCAAAGGGGTTCTTACCAGACTGGGTCTGTGCTGTTCTCCATCTGCACTCTCCATGGCTTTGATTCATAAATTGCCTCCCCATTAATGTCCAGCCACCTCCCCAGGGCCAGGAGTCTTTCTTGGAAGATGGGAACAATCACCCCTTCTTTTGTAGGTCCCACATTGAGAAGGTAGTTGCCTCCAAAACTCACAGTCTGCACTAGCTCCTGGGACAGATAAACCAAGGTAGCAACTTGAATGATCTTCAATTCTGACAAGAAACAAACATCAGGAGGGCTTTGTCCTCATCTCCTGCTCCTCTCACCCCAGCCTGGTGGCAGGACAGCCTGCAAGCAGGAGGGTGAAGGAAACCTCTAACTCCCAGTAACTCCCCCAGAGCTGTCACCTGGGTTTCAGGTTTCTCACCTCAATGATACTGGCTTCATCCATGATCTCAGAGAGGTTCATGTTGCTCCGATAGCCCCAGGAGAGCCTGTCCAGGGAGGAGCACATCTCCCACTTGTGAGCCAGCAGGGTCCCAGGCTTGTATCTGTCAGCACAGTTGTAGTAGCCTCCATGATGGCAGGAGCAGTTATTACACCAACGATCATTAACAACAACAGTGTCCTGAAAGAAGAAACTCAGCTCAGCAGGGGGGATTGGTTTGCCTTCAACTTCTCAGCTTGCTTCACCCCTCCTCAGTTAGCAAAGGTGTTTGAGTTGGGATGAAAGGACCTGAAACCCCCTGTGAAGTTAATGGCAAGAGAGAGGATCCCTCTCTGGGAGAATCTTTCTCTATTCACTCAGGTAGAATTGAGGCCAAGAGGCTCCTGGCCTCTGAGCCTCCCACCCGGGTGCTGCAGGGACACTGGAGCCTTCCCAGCTCACGGGGTGAGCTCCTGGGTTTTGTGAAAGCATAAAGCACATCTGGCATCTGGCAAGTGGGTTTGTTCACCTCCCACTGCTGCCAGACCTTCCATCCCCCTAAGACACCAGGGGCCATGAGAGACAGCTGAAAGTGATACCTTGACAGGACTATCATTGTAAAGCCAGGCAAGGAAAGAGGTAGAATTCCAGTAGGACTCTGGAGCTTCCCAGTCTCCATCCGACCAAATCAAATCTGGTTTATATCTAACAGAGAGATTAATATTATTTCAGAATGGCTTCTTTTCCCCTACCACAAAGGAAGCACTTGTGCCTGGAGTTCAGCTTCACCTCCTATTTGCCTGGCATTCCCAGGAGGTTTCTGCTGTCACATCCTGCTTCAAAGCTTTTCAGTGAGGTTACTGCAGCAGCAAAGAAAGATGTGGTGTTTACAGCTCAAGAAAGGCTTCAATTCCTCCAAAAAACAGAAGTTTGCAACTCAAAGGCAATGACCAAGCACGTTCTTGACGTGGGATAACAGCCATTCTGTGCCACGTGTGTCCAAGCCTCATATTTTTGTCAGAAAGGGGAAGGAAGGCAAGGGTGTAAGTTCACAGTGAAATTGCTCCAAGCAGCTTGCTTCACTTTCAAAGCCACTCTGAGTGAAAAATTTCCCCTCACCTTATTCTACAACTTAGACTCTCCAGAAAGCAAATGTGAACCTCTTGCTAATTACCAGAAGTCCTAACTGGTAAGTAATCAGGTTTGCCTTGGCAAAAATTAACATCTGTCACCTCTCTTCTCTGCAACCATTTTGCATCTTTCTCTACAGCACTGAACCCAGCAAGTGCTCTTGATTTCTAACTGCCTGCAGCTCTTACTTTAAGACAAGATCATAAAGTTCTGGCATGGTCTTCTTTAAAACGAAGTCCTGGGTCTTGAAGCCACTTTCCTTGTCACTCAGGTAGAGGGGATGAAACCACTCCAAGAGAGAGTGATACAGGCCATAGCGTAGGTTGCTGAGGGAGAGAACACACACAGGAAAGGGTTAGGCTGGGATTAAGAACCAGTGGCACATTAGATTATTTGCATTATCATTTCACACAGGATTCCATGACTTTGCAAGCACTACTTCTTTCATATTAGAAGCATAGGATGGTGAAGGTTAGAAGAGACCTTAAAGATCATCAGGTCCCAACCCACCTGCCAGAAGCAGGGACACCTCCCACCAGAGAAGGCTGGACAAGGCCTCATCCAACCTGGAATTAAACATGTTTTCTGCTGTTTTGTCAAGAAGGGGCAGGGGAATTCCATGCACATCGAGGAACAGCACAGTCTGCAGGGCTGTACCTCTCCCTCAGGGCTTCTCCCAGCTCTCCTACGAGGTCTCGGTGGGGCCCAGTATCCAGAGAATTCCAGTTCCAGGACACGGGTGACCCCCAGTTGGTGAAGCCTTCATGATGCTTCGTGGTCAGGACCACGTACCTGAGGGGGGAAAAAAGAAGTACTTGATCAGGATGAGAAAGGAACCACCTCAGACACTCCCCAGCCTGACTGGCAAACCCAGTCCCTAAGAAAGCAGGAGGCCGTGCTGGGAGGAGCCTTCTTTCATTGCCCGTTAAAATTAGAACCAGCTACAAGAATAGTAGAGGTTTTTTCATGGACTTTAATGCTGGAAAAGAATTAAGAACTGAGACTTAGGAACCAGCAAAGCCCCACCAGCTCAGCAGGCTGGGCATGATCCCTCAGGGACCCCCAGTGCTGCTCAGGGCCTCCAGCTCCCCAGGGCCCCCAGCCCCTTAGAGCCCC